ATAGAGCAAGTCCTACCAGGAGTTACTCTTCACATTTGCGAGCACATACCAACACCTGCTCTCTACGCATCAAAACTCCGCGCTCCTCCGATTTTTTCCTTCGGACGGCTTGCATACCGCCCTGCTGCCTGGCGCGTATTCCGTGCGTTTTAGCGCCGTCCGCTCGTCGTGATGACAGACCTGTTCCTTCCGATGGCAAAACCGTCTTCCCCGTGCGTGCGCAACGAGCCACGTTTAATTGAGGACGCATCCTTATTGCCTGCGTCTTCACTACTGGTTACCATTGCGCATGACAGACCATACTCCGCCCATGGCTCAGAGCGAATTCCCCGCTTGGACCAGTGAGCCCATGCCAAACTCCTGCCATGGAACTTCCTCCCTTGTAGATTCCCAATAGACAAACACGCTCACGACCGCTCAAAGACCGGATGACATCGATTTACAGCAAAATTGCGCTGGGGAAAATTTACCTGGCCTGCAACATTGGCAATCACGCACAATTTCCGACTGCCGCCCATGCGCCGGCTCACCAAAGCGAGGTTTCATCGTTTTTCCTCCAGCAGATTCTCAGCGCCAAATTTCATGCTTATCGTGACAGATACGAGTCGCCTGTTAATATTGCTGTACCACTTCGCCCCCATTATGTCATCGGCGCACCCTGTTGTGATCAATCACAGAAATTAGATAGCTCAATCAAATTCCATCTTGCCCAAATCTGGCAGGATAAGGATGCCCATACGACCCAGTGGTTAGGTTCTGTCGTTAAACTCTACTAAAGCTGTTAAGGAGCACGATTAAGGCGTATATGCCATTCCATCTATAGTAGCCTATTGTTATATAGTATTTTTAGCGCATAAAAAGCACAGGTTGTTATTTCATGTCTGTTTTTACCTGCATAGTCTGTACGTAATAAATTATTATTATTATTATTATTATTATTATTACTACCTCAGGTTACAAGCACCTCAGGTTACAAACACTTCGGGTTACAGACTCCGCTAACCCGGAAATAGTACATTGGGTTAAGAACTTTACTTCAGGATGGGAACAGAAATTGCATGGCGGCGGTGCGGCAGCAGCAGCGGGAGGCCCCATTAGCTAAAGTGGTATCTCAGGTAAAGAATGGTTTCAGGTTAAGCATGGACCTCCGGAATGAATTAAGTATGTAACCAGAGGTACCACTGTATAGGTTTTCTCAGTCTGACTCCACCATTCTGAACACTGGTTTAAAAGAAACAAGGCTGTTTCTGTTTAAGATATTTGTTTGCTGCTTTCTCATCAATAGCATGGCTGCCTATGCAGCGAAGTGTTCATTAAATCATGAGTACCTGTTTACTCATAAGTTTTGTAAAATTCTAATTAATGTCAAGTTATCTTGTTCTTTGAGGAAACTAAAGGATTAATTGCAGTCTAAATGGGAAGGTTAGCTGCAGTCAAAGGAGATTATTTTTTTCAATTTAGTAGCAATGACTGTCCAGAATTGTTTAGCGTGATCTAACAGAGGTGGGTAACACACCCCATGCATTCTTGATTTCATTTTTTGAACTCCAAAGTCCTCTGAGAGAATCAGATGAGGCATTGCTCCCTTTTCCTCTAGGGCTCATACTTGCCATTAGCTCTTCCCTTCGATAACAGTATTTCCCATCTTCAGGTAGGTAGCCGTGTTGGTCTACCACTGTCGAAATAAAAAATAAAATAAAATAAATGTCAAGTAGCACCTTAGAGACCAACTAAGTTTGTTCTGGGTATAAGCTTTTGTGTGGATGCACACTTCTTCAGATACCAGATACTTCTTCAGATGCTTCAAAGCATTTTATTTATTTAAACAACATGGTTTGCTCATTAGGTCATGTATGTCATTATAATTGTCTGTACCTGGAAATCTTGTGGGTTCAAGATCAATTGTGGGACGAGGGCGATTGCTGTAAAAGTAATGAATCTCTTCATGATTTTCTTCTCCCTGTGTTCATCACATATATTATTCTGTTAATTCACAAAACTAAAAATTTATTACTTCATCCTGGAGCTGCTCAGTTAAATATTGTATTGGGATTATAAATTATTTACAGTGACAGTGACTATATTAGCACTGGGATGGAGTCCAGCAGAGGAAGGTAAGGTGGATCTACACCATTTTCTGCATTTGAATGAAGATTAGATGCCTTTCTGAATGAGAGGCAGTGGCCAAATTCAAGTTAATGGGGCCTGATACTGTAATTACTGGAGGAAATTCAATCTTCTATTGGAATCCATTCTGCTAGCTATGCTTGAACTGCAGAGCCAATATTGCTGGTTGTGATATGCATTCCTTTTACTCTCAGGGATTATGGAGAGCGCATTTGGAGAAGTGTAATAGACCCCTTCTATATCAAATGGATTGCATGAAGAACTTCACAGGCGATTTCTTCAAAAGCATTTGAGTACTTTTCTGACACCACTAGGGAGAAAGCTTTAGGCATTTATTCAAAAGTGTTGTCCTCTGGATTGTGAAGTAGTTCAGTTGGTTGAACAGTATTATGAAAATGACTGAATGAAGAATAAGCTATTAGAAAATCAGGGATATAATACCCCCCTCCCCTTTGTGGTAAGTAAATGCACAATTACAGTACTCAAGTTCCTTTTCCATCTCTTGCCAGATTTCCCAATATTAAGTCTCCCCCATTTATTTATTTATTTATCTATTTTACATATCTTAATACATTGATTATACAGTCCAATATGTGTGTGTGTGTGTGTGTATTTTGTTCGTTTTCTCTACAGGCAATGGGCTTTGTTATATATTTTAGGACACCTGATGCAGCTAGCTAACATGATTGTTGCAGTCTCTCACTAGTTTTTCCTACTGAAAACATATGACGTGCATGCATACATATGTAAGCAGTTTTCAGTGTGTTTTGGGCTGCCTAGCCCAAGCAAGACTGGTAAGCATTGCTTCCTCCACCATGTTGTATGAATCCTTCTTGATAAAAGAGAAGAAATGCTGGATTTCCTTTTTTCCAGGGCAAATGTTTCCAGTCCATATGCTTAATCTGTAGTTTAGAGTTTCCCCCTCTTTGTTCCAGATAGTGGAAAAAACACAACTACAAATCTTAACTATGACTGCACAGGTATTGATTTAATAATTTTTATATTTAAGAATAGTTTGTAGTCCAAGCTGTAGAAGTAAAATGCTAGCAAAGTCAGTGTGAGTTATGTGTGACACATATGCCATTCGTAGACGTTATTCCTGCCAAGGGCTAGTGTACTGCAGCTTTGCATACTTGCCCTTTTTTATTTTATTCCTAAACTGTGATTATGTTGTTAGGTTTTATCTCTTGTGCAATCTCAAATTATCTATTTTCTACATAACCTTTATGGTAACATCTGAAAAACACTATTGTTAAGTCCGTCTGTTTTCAGGTTGACCAAAACTGGTCCTTGGTTGCCAGTGATCCCGCCCCCCGCCCCTGTGTATGTGTGTCATGTGTGTTTATTATTTAAAGCTAAAGTGTGGCAGTCACTTGTTTCTTGGCATGTGCCTGCACCAAAGTAAGTCTGCAGGTCTGTGTTATTTCTGTTCTTCTATTAACATGACAGTGGTACCTCGGGTTACAGACGCTTCAGGTTACAGACTCCGCTAACCCAGAAATAGTGCCTCAGGTTAAGAACTTTGCTTCAGGATGAGAACAGAAATCACGTGGCGGTGGTGCAGCGGCAGCCAGAGGCCCCATTAGCTAAAGTGGTACCTCACGGTACCTCAGGTTAAGAACAGTTTCAGGTTAAGAACAGACCTCCAGAACGAATTAAGTTATTAACCCAAGGTATCACTGTATAGAAATCATTTGAAAGGTTATAAAACTTAAAAGTACCGGTATGTAACAAAAGTATGTCAAAACCATGAAGTTTAGTGGTGCAAAACCTCCATTGGAACTATCTGCTTGAGTTGCACCAATTTTTTTTCTGTGGCTAAAAGACAGCTTGGGCCCCCTCTGTCATCTCTTGGGGGGTTGCACTGCTTGTCAGTGAATAATGAGAGGTGCTTACAAGCAATGTGTGTTTTCTTGATGTGTTTCTTGATGCTTGCTGCCTTTCTTTTCTCTAAATTTCTACCTTCATTTCTGTTATCTACTTGTCTCTTCAACAATCCCCCCATATATTTTTGTTTCCTTCTTTCCCCATCTTTCTCTCTGCCCCCCCATCTCCTTCCTATTTGTAACTGAGTTCTAGTTGTATCTGTTTCCATACATCACTGTGATATCCATAATAGGATTCATTATTTGGTTGAATACAAATTGATTAACCTCTTTAGTTGTTTGTCTTTAGGTTAGACAGCACACCCCTAGGGTATGCAAAGTTGTTTTCTAATATTTATAATCCTTTATATGAGGTAGCTATGTAGCATTTTATAGAACTTAGAAAGGATTTTATGCTAGGTAAAAGACTGCAGAGAACTGGCAGAATTTTTTGGGTCCTATCTATTATTATTATTTATGGGACGCGAGTGGCGCTGTGGATTAAACCACAGAGCCTAGGGCTTGCTGATTGGAAGGTCGGCGGTTTGAATCCCTGCGACGGGGTGAGCTCCCATTGCTTGGTCTCTGCTCCTACCAACCTAGCAATTCGAAAACACGCAGTGCAAGTAGATAAATAGGTACCGCTCCGGTGGGAAGGTAAACGGCGTTTCTGTGCACTGCTCTGGTTCACCAGAAGCAGTTTAGTCATATTGGCCACATGACCTGGAAGCTGTCTGCGGACAAACACCAGCTCCCTCGGCCTATAGAGCGAGATGAGCGCCACAACCTCAGAGTCTTCCATGACTGGACCTAACAGTCAGGGGTCTCTCTACCTTTATTATTATTATTTATTAAATTTATATACCACCCTTCATCTGAGGATCACAAAGCGGTTTACAGGATATGTCTGTTTAGACATAAGAAACCATGATTGTTGTTACATAAGCCTTGGTCTTGCTCTCCTCCCCTCCCCTCCCCTTCTGTGTATATGAGTAGAAGGTCAAAAGCACCCAGCCTACAGCTCTGTTGGTAGAGCATGAGACTCTTAATCGCAGGCTCATGGGTTCGACCCCCACATTGGGCAAAAGATTCCTGCATTGCAAGGAGTTGGACTAGATGACCCTTGTGGTCCCTTCCAATCCTGAAATTCTATGATCTATTTTTGAACTAACTGCAGTTTCCCATTATGTCTTAATTCAGGGAACTGTGCTTGCTTTTAAAAGCGGATAGTTAGAAAACCTAAGTATCAAACCACGGCACTTGTGTAGACTTATTTTCATAATAACAAATCATGGATTATTGTTAAACATCTGAACAAGACCTTTTCTTTGGATGGGTTTATCTGAACCAGTGTGGTCTAGATGGGTCAAATTGTACTTAAGTCATGAATTTAATGGTAAAACTAAGTTACATACTTCTGGCTATGTCTATCATCCTCACTGATACAAATGGAAAAAGTGGTCTACATAAAAAGGCTTGCCAAGGGACTCTGGATATTAAATTATGAACTTTGTGGCCTAGATAGGAAACCAAGCCTGATGAAGTTGCCATAGATCTTCTATGCTGAATCTTCTTCATACACAGATAGAAACAGGCATATGCAATAGCATGATGCTTCTGGACTGGTTAAACTTTGTATAGGGACTTGACCTTCAGCTGGATGCATACTTCACTTAGCGCCAGATTTCTGCTTCTATCTGGACACCCTCTGGCCTCTAGGCTAGATTTGGATACAGCCACTCAAGACTCCAACAGAGTACAGTAATCAGAATGGCTGCAAAGATGACCCAAAGAAAGATAGTAGAATATATTGTAAACTGAAAGAGCAGTTGAAATTGCTATTTTTTTTATTCAACACATATTTACTATGCTACACATCAACTTCAAAAATGCTTCCATAAATGTAAATTTTTGATGTATTTTTTCACAAAAAAATTGTTAATTATAGCTATGGAATGGAAAATGAGTTCGTATTCACTGGAACCAGCCCTAAGTCAACAATAATTTAAGTTGCTATCATTGTCATCAGACTTTTAGGAAACTAGGAGATAGCATCTTCTCAGTGTCTTACGGGATTTTTATTTTATTTTTAAAAAAGAATCTTTGGCTAAAAAGACCCCAACAACACATTTGTAGAAATGTTGTCTTACTGATTCAAATCAGAAATAACTCTTATGGGGAATGTAAACCATCTCTGTTGTTGTTGTTGTTGTTCCTCCTATACATAATTAGTAAATGTAACCCCTTTCTAGTTTGAGTCTTGATTTAAGTTCTTAGTGATATGCAACTATATACACAGGTTTAGAATCATAATTGACTGATTTATTGTTTTCTTGCTCTAGGGAGCATGACTTCTGCAACTTCACCTATCATATTAAAATGGGATCCCAAAAGTTTGGAAATCAGGACCCTTACTGTGGAGAGACTGTTGGAGCCACTAGTTACACAGGTAAGCACAGCATTAGCTGCTATTCTGTTTGTTTAGTCATACTTTACATAATTTTCAGTATTTATAATATGGTGGGAGCATTGTTAACTCATGAATGCAAGACAGAAAGACAAGGTAGGTTAAATATCTTTAGCTGAAATAGTTGTACAGTATTGCACATTTTTCAGGCTTCACCAACATTTTGATTCTGAGGGAGAGGGCGAGCAAAATTTCAAGTTGGATAGAATAATGTTCTGAATTATGGTGGGTGGCCTTGAGTTGTCAGGTTTTCTTTGTCACAACTAATCATATACTAAAATGTGGATAGTAATTTAGCATTAAGAAGATGAAGAAAACCTTCAGTACATGATATGAATGTTAATGATGGTTGCATGTCTAAATAGTTCAATATCATCCATAGTTGTTTGCTTGCTGCCATAGTTATCAGAAGTGTTCAATTAACAAAAACCTTTTGTTTAAACATGTTGTGATAAGGCTTTTCCATGTTCATTCAAGTTACAAAATGGTGGGAGATTGCATCTGTCAATGGCCACACTTTTAACAGACGTCTGCTGAAAACCTTTATATTCTGACAGGCTTATTCAGGCAATTAAAAATACATTTTTCTATCACAGTTAAATGATTTTTTATCGAATGCTTTTATGTATAACTATTGCAATCTACTCTGATATTTTTTATGACTAGCGATATATATTTTTTAATAAAAAATTAGAATGAATTATAAATGAGTATTATATAGTAGCCTAACTTGTGGTTTAACTTTGCCAGTACTTAGGCACTAGCTTGCTGTCAGAAGCAGAGCAGTCCCAGATCTGTATGTTCACTGGAAGCTACCATTCCACATTACAAGTACCCACCTGGCAACCAGGGCCATCCCTGTGAAAGGATACAGTTTGGATGGCCCTTGAGAGACTGCTGCCTCTTGAGGACTTTGTCCCCTTGCCTCCACATCTGTGAAAACTTAAGCTGCAAGCTCTTTGAGGTTCAAGCCTATGTTTTGTGCATTGTTCGCATGTGAAGTCCCATGTATATTGTAGTTCTATATAAATAATAATATTGCTATTAAGTTTCCTAGGTTTTTTGTGGCTTACTAACATATGGCTACCAGATTTTTTTCAATGAATCTGGGGACACTTTTTTTTTTAAAGTTACATGCTTTATTATCCCTAATTACATCTATACTTCAGCTGTTTTGCTGTCTTGAGAAGTCCAGAGAAGAGAGAAACCTGGGGGGTGGAGTTGGAAGCAGAGTTTGAGAATACGACTGTGGGATGTTCACGGAATCACAGATTTGGAAAGGACCTCTGAGGGGCATCTAGGCCAACCCCCTGCAATGGAGGTACCTCAACTCAAGCAGCCTCAACTTAAAAGAACTTAAGGCTTCCCTGCTCCATTTTGACTTCTGCAGTTACCGGCCGTCAGGGACATGCTCTCTTCACGCTCTCTCAGCTGCTCAGCTCTGCCACCGCTCCAGTTGGCCAAGGGGATCAAAGTCATCTCACCCCTCCGCACCTTGCCCAGCAGAGAAACCACGCCCCTTGTGCCCCTCCTGGACAACTGCACACCACCCACCCATGACTCCCGAGCCTCCCCCAATCTCCTGCCCCCTTCCCCCTTCGTTTTGAGAGTTTCACAGTGTTCGAAAGAAGAGCTTTGCACATTGCCCAGCAGAGAAACCGTGTACCTTGCACTCGTCCTGGGCAACGGCCGTCCACCTGCAATCTCTGAAAACGAAGGGGGAAGGGGGCAGGAGATTGGGGGAGGCTCAGGAGTCACAGGCGGGCGGTGCGCCATTGCCCAGGAGGGGCGCATGGCATGCGGTTTCTCTGCTGGGCAAGGTGCAAAGTCCTTCTTTTGCACTCTTCGATTCTCCACCTACCTCTGCCTCTGCCTGTGCAAAAACTATCTTCCCACCCCTCCAGCTGCATATTACTCCAGGAGAGCAGGGTGTCACATTTCCTGGGGACAATTAATGAAATGCGGGGACATTCCAGGGACTGAATTTGTCTGGGGACAGATTTGCAAATCCAGGGACTGTCCCTGAGAAACAGGGACATCTGGTAACCCTATACTAACACTATTGCAGCAAAATATTAAGGAAAACACTTTTCCTTTTTGATATCATTAGAATAAATGCCTGCTGCCAATTTGTTTCACAGTTGCTTATACCAAAGTTAAGATGTCCCCACTCCCCTTCTTCACAGTCACGCTCTAAACACTTTGATTAGTAGTTGCAGAAGCACTAGTACTGCCTATTGTGTAATTTTGAAATAAATGAGTGCTCTAGTACCTATTGCTCCTATGTGAAGAGACACTTATTTTTGATCTCTCATGCATTTGTGTTTTGTAGACCAGTTTGTCATTTGTACAAGATAGATATGGAAATATAACCATAATCCAAATTATAGAAGCACAGAGTATTTGCTGCAGAAGAGACTAAGGCATGCCCAGAATATGAAAGGGTGAGAAAGAAGGTCAAATGCAATTTTGTAGGATATTCAGATATAATTGCAAGGAAACATTTCTGCAAATAATCATGAACCAGGGAATTATTAAGAAAAATAATGATAGTAATAGGAGCAATATCAATGAACATTAAAATATATGCTGTTCACCAGATAAAGATGAGAAATTGTAACCAGTTTTCCTGAAATCTTGCACAGTACAGTTGTACCTTGGTTTAAGAACAGCTTAGTTTATGAACAACTTGGATTAAGAACGCTGCAAACCCAGAAGTAGGTGTTTTGGTTTGTGAACTTTGCCTTGGAAGCAGAACATGTTCCGCTTCCTGTTGAGTGTGTTTCATTGGTAAATTGAGTCCCCCGCTATGGGAAAGCATGCCTTGGTTTAAGAACGCTTTGGTTTAAAAACAGACTTCTGGAACGGATTAAGTTCATAAACCAAGGTACCACTGTACAAATAAAAAAAAGCAAGATGCATAAAAAGGCTAGAAAATTACTTTCCAGTACGAAATAACTCTATTTATTTGATTTGATTTATATACTGCCCTTCATCACAAGATGTTAGGGCAGTTCATAAAATAAAATACAGAATGAAAGCACAAATAAATTGTTAGAACACAAACAACAAACCAATATCCCCCACAAACATATTTTAAAGTCTGTGGACTATTAATCAACCAAAGCCTGCCTGAAGAGGAATGTTTTCTCCTGGCACCTAAAGGTATATAATGAAGGCGCCAGACAAACTTCCCTGGGGAGAGCATTCCACAAATGGGGAGCCACTGCAGAAAAGACCCACTCTCCTGTTGCCACCCTCCGGACCTCATGAGGAGGAGGCACATGAAGAAGGTCCTCAGAGACTGGGTTAGTTTATGTGGAGAGAGGTGACCGTTGAGGTCCTGAGCTATTTAAGGCTTTGTAGGTCAAAACCACACTTTGAATTGGGCCCAGAAGCTAATTGGCAGCCAGTTCAATCAGGGCAGGATGGATGTAAGATGCTCAAACCACCTTGCCCCAGTGAGCAACAGAATTCTGCACCAGCTGAAGCTTTTAAACCATCTTCAGAGGCAGCCTTACGTATAAGATATTACAATAATCCAACCTAGAGGTTACCAGAGCATAAACAACAGAAGTTAGACTCCTTCTTCTTTTCTTCTTTGGTGATCACTCATA